TGGGGGAGGCCAGAGAGACAGTTCAAAGGGTCAAGCATGTGCTTTGCTTGCAGGAGGTCCAGGGCACTTTCAACACTCCCCGGTCCCCTGAGTGACTCTGAGCACAGAGTAGGAAGTAGTTTCTGAGCACCATCAGGTGTGGCCCCCAAACAAAAGAGAAGCAGTCCCACTAGACATTTCATTCAGCCACAGGTCCCCATCCTAGGGCTGCAACATCAAAATGATTGTAAAAATATGTAACTGTAAAGTTCTGTAAAATAATACTTTTTGTTTCTGAATCACACCAAGCAGTGTTCAGTGGCTACCCCCAGCTTAGTGCTCAGGGTTGTTCCCAGCAGTGCCAGGGGACCATAAGGTGCCAAGAGCTCAAACCTGGGGCTCCTGCACACGAAGTCCACGGAGCCATCTCCCCAGACCAGATCCTCTCAATTTCAAATTTCAAACAGCTCTCTGAGACGGCTGTCAGCAGCCACTGCACCCTCAGATGTGCACACACATCCCACCCTGCGCTTCCTGATTTTTAGCCCTTGCCATACTTTGACTGTGACTGATCATGGGTCTGAAGAGAAGCGTGTCTGGCCCGGGGAATTCCAGGCTTTGTTTTCAGAGAATGATGAGTCCCACTCAGAAGTGAAACTGAAGCCGTGCTTCTTTTTGATACTTGGAAAAATATCCAACTCCTAATATATATTCTATACGAACAAAAATTATGGAAAACTATGCTCTGAAATCAGAATCTCTTTTTTGTTGTTGTTAGTTTGTTTGCTTTGGCGGTCACACCCGGCAGTGCTCAGGGGTTACTCCTGGATCTGTAACCAGGAATTACTCCTGGCAGTGCTCAGGGGACCATCTGCGATGCTGGGGACTGAATCCAGGTTGGGCGCTGGTACAGCAAATCCCTCCTGGTTGGACTACTGCTCCAGCCACTTAAATCAGAATCTCTGACGAGTTGAATGTAAACCACCAGAATTCTCTATTTTAAAACAAACAGGGACCAGAACGATAGTACAACAGGTTGGGTGTTTGCCTTGCAAGTGGCAGACTGAGGTCTGATCTCCAGCATCCCATATGGTCCCCCAGCACCACCAGGAATGATTCCTGAGTGTAGAGCCAAGAGAGTAGCCCCTCAACTTTACTGGGTGTGCCCCCCCAAAAAAAAACAAACAAAAACAAAGTAACAAAAAACAAAAAGGGGCTACAGAGATAGTACAGTGGGTAAGGAGCTTGCACTCAGCTGACCAAGCTGGCCTGGGCTTGAACCACAGCTTCCCATATGGGTCCCCTGAGCACTGACAGCAGTGATATCTGAGCCCAGAGCCAGGAGTAAGCCCTGGGTCCTGCGGGGTGTGGCCCAAGAACCAAAAATAAAGTAAAATTAAAAACAAACGAGAGCCAAGCTGTTGGTGCAAGAGCCCAGAGTTTAATCCCCGTTCCCCCCTCCCACCCACCTCCTCTGCACTGCAGGTCCCTGGACCACCACTGGAAGTGACTTTCTGCACCCCTCACTCTTTTCAACCAAGCCACGAGTAGGCCTCAGCAGAGCCAGCGACAGCGAAAAAGGACAAAAAAACCCTCAGTGTTCCTTTGGGACAAGTCATTCCTGGTCTTTGAAGTAACCGTAACCAACATTTATTAAACACTTCAGTAAACTCCTTTCCTGCCATGAATTGTTTCATTGTAGCATCAAAACAGCTTCAGGAACCTCATTATTCCCTCTGTGCAGGTGGGAAGGCTGAAGCAGGGAAAAGCAAGAAACCTCATTCAAAGTCACAGCACTATAGACTGGGCAGAGCTAGGCAGCCCCAGGGCTGCTACACAAACAAGCCCAAGGGGCTGCCCAGGTAGGTGTTTGCCTTGCAAGTGGCAGACTGAAGTCTGATCTCCATATGGATGGAAGTAGAAAGGTGGACCTACATTGCTGGCACTGAGCTGGCAAGTCACACACCCTTCTCCGGGTGGTAGACACAGTGCCCCAGAAGGAAGCAAGACAGTTCCACCAGATAGAGGAGACCTTACATGCCTGGGGGCAGCTCTGTGATCCTGCCACATGGGCTGACTGCAAAGAACTATAAGATGTCCCCAGCCCAGGGCTAGAGCCATAACACAGCCGGTAGGGTGTTTACCTTGCACGCAGCTGGATTCCTGGGTTCAATTCCCAGCATCCCATATGGTCCCTTGAGCACTGCCTGAGTGCATGAGCCAGGTGTGACCCAAAAAGCAACAAATTAAAAAAAATTTTAAAAAAAGATGTCCTAAGCCCATTTTCCTCTGAACTCATGGTTCCAAATGGTCAGCGTGGCATTATGGGTAGTACCAGGTGCTTTTCAAAGTCCTCCAAGTCTGAGGAGATGGTCAATAGGCTAGTGCTGATGTTTTGTGTGCTGGGGGCCCAGGTTCTATTCCTGGCCTAGCATATGTGACCCACACCCTTCACAGCATGAGCAGGGAGTAGGCCCTGAGCAGTGCCAGCTCCGGCCCAAACTCCCCCATCGGAAGGACCTGGGTCAAAGGGATGGCTTGCACTTTGCTAGCATGCTGGCCAGGAGAACTGAGCATAGAGAAGGTGCTTAAAGAATGCATCAGTCTGGGGTCAGCAATTCTAGTCTTACTTCTTCACTAATTGAACTGTGTGACGTTAGCCAAGTCCTCTAACATCACAGGCCTTGAGTTTCCTTAAGTTCTGTTGAAAAAATAAAACACCAGGTGCTGGAGCGATAGTACAGTGGGTAGGGCACTTGCCTTGTGTGTGACCTACCCAGGTACGATACCCAGCAGCCTGTATGATCCCCCAATCCACATCAGGAGTGCTCGCTGAGCACAGAGCCAGGAGTAAGGACTGAGCACTGAGGATGTGACCCCAAAAACAAAACAAAAAAAACCTACCAAAGCAGTGGGTCAGAACGGATTCACTCCTGCTAAGCCCTTGTCTTCAAAGCCAAGATTTGCTTTGATAGATAACTTCAGCGCAGTGTCCACTTCTCCTGGAACTTTAATCCTGACCAGTGTGGGTCAGCAGTACCAGATGAACAGCATGGTGTACTCCACTCCCTAGGGCTCTCCTAACAGAGTGGCACCTGCCTTGAAACTTGCTACGACTTTACACAGGAACCAGGATGGGACCCCACAAAAAGAGAAAGAAAAAGACAAAAGTGAGATAGACTACCTTGATCACTATGTATATTTAGATAAAGATTTTTAGGTTTGGTGAGGGATGGAGCTGGAGGGTTAGGCCATACCCGGTGCTGCTCAGGGGCTACTTCTGGCTCAGCCCTCAGGAGGGAAGCCTGGAGGTACTCCAGGATCATGTGTGGGGCCAGGATCAAAAGGGGTCATCTGCATGCATGACAAAGGCCTTGGCCCCTGTGCCCCTGTACTATCTCTGGCCCGAAATTTTAGTTCTTAACAGTACAAATTGCATATCAAGATGCCTAGCCTCTATGTTACTCACAGGCTGAGGTCCAAGGCACCAATAGAAGTCTGCTGACGGTGGACATTCTGAAGCTCATTATTGCCAGAAAGAATACAATCGGGCATTTCTGCAGCCAGCCCCTGCTGTCCAGCAGGTCCACACACGCCAGCTAGGGAAGGCAACGCCCGGAGAATGGCCCCAACTGAACTTTATTTTCTCCACCGGGAAACCTAGGCTGGGCCTCTGTTGGAGCTCCCGAGGGGCCAGAGCTCAGGAGCTTCCTCCAAGGCAGATCTGTCTAAATCGGTTATCCACCTGGCCGGGAGGCCCATCCTGGCCGGGGACCAGTCACACCTCCTTGCAGACCCCGAAGCTCCCTCGACTCGGCCTTTCCCTCCATACCCTGCCCCACCCAACCCCGCACATTTTGCAGGTGGCTGGCGGTCATCTGGGATGGGAGGGGCCGCACGCCATCAGGTTGGGTATCCAGCGATCGATCCCGTTTCCTCTCCCGTCAGCCGACAACACCCACCCACGGGTAAGGCTGGAGCAAAACAGCCTCGCAGAATCCAGGCTGCCCAGGAGCGGGAAGCGATGGCGCCCACCTTAACTCCTCACCAACTCCCGCCCCTTTCAGTGAGGCCCCAGGAACGGATCCCGTGGGCCCGAACAGTGAATCACCTGCACTTCGGCACAATGACCCTCTCCAAGAGAGGGTGGGGAAGCTCGTCTGGCAACTGCCTACACAAACGGCAATTCTCAGTGCAGCAAACAAACCAGTCTAGCCCCGAGTTGCACTTTGCGTAAGACCATGCTCGCAAAACCGCCACCGAGGAACACTTGTTGATCGATACCGATTGTTCACGCTCGGGTGCGGGCCAGCAGCGAACGGAAGCTGGCTTAAGAAAGGAGAGGATGCGGTGGGTTTGTGAAAATTGGTGTGAAGGGTCCCAAGGCTTGGAGTGCCAGGGCGCGCCTGGCTTATTCGCAGCAACAGATCCCAGTGAACTCAGCTCCCACGGGAACTTAAGGGTTCCCATCTTCTTGATTTTAACGTGGGGGTGAGGGGGTGCGCAACTTGGGGAGCGCAGGGTTGCTGGGCGTGAGCAGCACTGCTGAGTGCGCCGGCTGTCCGCTGGTCTCCGAGTGGACACGGGCCACGGCGCCCGAGTCCAAAGCAACAAGCAGCAACATGCACCTGCAACCGGGCTCAAATCAAATCGGGGCGAGGGGCGCGAGCGTGGTTCTCACGAGACAGGCGCGTCCTCCCCAGCGGTCCTAGTTGCCCGCCCAAGGAAACACACGTCCCGGGCGCGGCGAGAGCCGGCCCCTTTCCTCCCTATGCCCCGGCTTCCTCTTGAATACCCTCAACACGGGGCCTGAGAGTCTCTGCAAGCAGGAGAACGCATGCACCTTTTAGCTCTCGAAGACCCCAAAGCCACTCGGCGCGCCCGAGAATACACACTTGCCCAGGGGCCGCGCGTGGGATCAGAGGGCAGGTTGTTTCCTCCGGGGGTCCCCTCCACCCTCTAGCCCCCACCCCCACCGCCCCCGGGCTCCGCGCTCGCCACCCCAGCAGTACTCTGGTTACCTCATTGGCTCGTGCTGCGGCGTCCCGAACTTGAGCCGTCGGTTCCGCCGGCGCAGTCTCCTCCTCTCCGGCGGTCAAGGGACTGTTCTGAGCCGCTCGAGGGTCGCCGCCACTGCCCGGCGCCGCCTGGCTGCCGCCGTCCACGCTGGCGCCCACTCCTCCGGCCGACGAGGTGGCAGCAGCAGCACCGAGGAGCCCGTGCGCGCCGTCGGGGTCCCCCGCCGCCACGCTGTGCACCAGCCACGCATCCACGCGGGTGCGCGGGATGAAGGGGACTCCCAGCGCGCGCACCTCCCGGAGTAGTCGTCCCTCGGACGGCACCGCGGGGTCAGGCTCCCAGCCCTTGGGGTGCAGCTGGTCGGCGCGCCCCCAGCCTCCCCAGGCGGGGAAGGGGCTGAGCGCGTAGGCGGGGCTCTCCGGGCCACCTCGCAGCAGCAGCTCATCGCCGGGCAGGGGCGGCGGCGGCAGCAGCAGGTAGAGATCCAGGTCCACGCGGAGCCCCGCCAGGCTCAGCAGGATGGTGAGGTGCAGGAGACCGCCGCCGTCCGACCACCATGGCTTCAGGTACTTCATCTCCCGGCGCCCGCCGCTCCCCGCGCTCCCGCCGCCGCAGCGGCACGTGCGGACCCCGCGCGCCCCCGCCGCCGCCGCCGCCGCCACCTGCCCAGAAGACACGGAGAAGCGAAACAATAGAGCGGGGCGCGCGGCGGCCGTCGCGGGCTCCCAGAGCCGGGCACAAAGGCGCACCCTGCGCGGCGGGCACTGTGCCTGGGACTCGGCAGAAGCGGAGGAGGAGCCACCTGTGCGCCGAGACCGTCAGGCCCCGCCCTCCTCAAGACCACGCCCCTAAAGACCACGCCCTCCGCCGGGCACCGCTCCGTGAGGCTCCGCCCCTCCCCGGACCACGCCTCTCCTTCAGACCAGCGCCATCAGGCCCAGCTCCCGCCAGGTCCCGCCCCTCCGAAAGACCACGCCCCTCCGCCAGTCCCCCCCCCCACCTCCGCTAGACCACGCCCCAGGAAAGGTCACGCCCCCTCAGGGCCCCTCTGGGGCCAGGTCACGCCCCTCTGTCAGGTCCCGCCCCTGCCAGGCCCCGCCTCCAGACCCTGGCCTCTGCGCGCGTGGGAGGCTACGCAGGGCGCCCCTGCTCAAAAGGCTTCTCCCTGGGGCGGGACGGGGCGCACGCAAGGCTTAATGGGAGACTTTGTTCTGGGTTTTGAGTGGTCCGTGACTTCTGTGTGAATTGGGGCACCAGAGTTGTCAATAACCTCCCACTGGGAGTCAGCAGATCTGGGTGGGAAGGGACAGGCTGTGTGCAGAGGAATCTGTGCCCTGGCGTCGGTTCTCAGTCCCTCTCTGCCAGTCCTAAGATTTTCAATAAATTACTTATCCAAGTCTAAGCTCTTATTGATCAATTAGGCCTGCGTGGTAGCACGGGGACTAAGGTGCTTGCCCAGCACACCACCAGTCACTGAATGTGGTTCCCCGAGCACTGCCGAGTATGGCCCCAAAGCCAAAATAATAGTAATGATAATAGTAGTAGTAGTCGCTCCTGTCCAACGATTGTAGTGAGGCTAGATGCCTGTCTGTAGAGCTGAACATAGAGTATTTGTAGCTGCCATGGGAATCAGCACTTTCTAGCAGGTGCCCCTCCTGTGCACCAGGGCCACCGACCCCTCATTGTTTCCTCAAGGTCACCTTTGCTGTTTAAGTGAAGGCCAAGAAGGTCTAGTTATCCATAGGCCGTCAAGTTTCCACTCCACCCTCCACCCTCACCATTTTCTAGCCTGGACATGAGTGCGCTGTCTGTGCCTCAGTTTTTTTTTGCTTTCTTTTTTTTTTTTTTTGCTGCAAAATGGGACTAATCACAGCCCCTCCTCTACATACCTGCTCTCGCCTCAGAGCAGTTGCCTGTAAACAACCACACAGAGCGAGGTATGTTCTGTTACCCATTATTTGTATTACTCGGCCTCCAGGGGTTAACCTTCACATACCGCTGCTCCATTCTCGCTATTTGGAATGAATTCCATCCCTGTCTGCTCTCCTTTTGCATTTACTCAGTATGTCAGCGTTGCAACACTTGGCAAGGTCTGCTTTGCATTGAGGATTGGTATGGGTTTGCCCATTGTATGTTCTTGAGGGCAAAAAACCTGTTTAACTCACCTTTGTGCCCACACAATCCCCAGCGCTGGGTTTTACTAGTTCTCAATCCCTTCCTTGGAATGGGGGGGGGGGGTGTGTGGAATCTCCAACTGAGAAAGTAGTTGGGTAAGAAGTTGAGCAGGACCTGTTTGTCAAGGCCCCTTCCTCCCCCCTGGTTTTCTCTCTGCCTCTGTGATGAGAACTGCACACGGGATTTCAGTTTGCCCAGTGAGGCAAGGGGCACAGAAGCCTTTTCCTTAAGTGGTTTCTGTTTTCAGCCATGGAGGCGGGGTCAGAAGTGATGAAGGGGCTGGAAGACAGACACTTGTCACACCAGTCGATCACAGCAGCCCATTTGGGTCTGGACTTGAAACCCAGAGGACCTTCTACCCAGTCTGACACTGCAGGGGCCTTTTCCAGTGAAGGAGCATGAAGAACTCTGAGTCTCTGGTCTCATTAGGGAAGTGAAAATATACCCCAATGCCAAAAGAATATGTAGCTATAAGTGATTGTAAAAATGTTACTCTATACCAACAGGTAAGAACAGAAATAGTGCCTTCTTTAAGGCAGAATCGTCTAGAGCCTTCGGGTTAGACAGACAGTATTGCCCGACCTGGGTTCAACCTCTGTCACCCCATTTGGTCCCCTTAGCCTGCCAGAAGTGATCCCTGAGCACCACTGGGTATGGTCCAAATATAAAACAAAATAAGAATCTTCTAGAATATTCTAGAAGCTGCCCCCCCCCCCGTTCTTGTTCTTGTTTTTTTAGGTGATTCCGTGAGACTTTAAGAGATCAGCATAGACTAAATCCTATAAAATTATATACATAACTTTCAGAACCTAGTACCTGTATTGCAACCCAGAGAGAGAGAGAGAGAGAGAGAGAGAGAGAGAGAGAGAGAGAGAGAGAGAGAGAGAAGTATGTGTCTTAGAGGCATGCTAGATTCTAGGTGTGGGGGCAGGAGGGAAACTGGAGACATTGGTGGAGGGAAAATGTACACTGATGAAGGATGGGTGTTGGAAGTCTGTAAGACTGAACCCAATCTTGAAAAATTTTGTAACTGTGTATCTCATGGTGATTCAATGAGAAAAAAAAAGAAACTTATTTTTAAAAAGTCCTTCCTAACAGTTGGGGCGGGTGCTGATCCCTCACCTTTTAAATGTGGACTATTAATAACATCTGCTCAGTTCAGAAATGTGGTTGAGTACCAGAGAGCTGGTGATTCAGATGCTGCTGGAGTGGTGGCCGGTCTCTGTTCATTCGCTATTCCCAGATTCTTCAATATTTTCAAGAATGAAAATATTGAGTAATAAAGATGCTCAGACTCAGAGTAGGAAAGTAGAAAAATTTATTGAAAAGTAGAAGAGAAAGAAAAAGGAACTCCCCCTGTAGTGAGGAACTTCGTATAAGACTAAGTTAACGATGGCTCTTTTTGTGGGGATTTTATAGGAAAACTGGGTCTTTGTGTTATAGGGAATGCAAGGAAGTTAAAGATAAGGGTTTTCCTGTAAACCCTTTCAAATGAAAGTTGGATTCTTGGCTAGAGGATGCAAAGGTCTAACAGATCCTTGTCTGACCTTTTGCCTTTGATGTTTCTCATTATGTTAACCTCCCTGTGAGCCTAAACTCTGGGGCAGAATTTTATGATGGACAATTGTTTATCAGAAAAAGCTCAGGAATTTGCAGGAAGTCAAAATTGTAGGATGAGCCAGCCCCCCCCCCCAAAAAAAAAAAAAAAAACCCAACCAAGACTGCTCATAGCAGCTGGCAAGGGTTCTTCTTTCACTAGAATGGGCGTTAAAGTCCTTGCATGTGGCTGAGCTGGGTTCAATTCCCAGCATCATATATGGGCTCCTGAGCACTGCAGGGAATGATCTCTGAAGCAAAGAGCTAGAAGAAGCCCCTGAGCACTGCCGGTTGTGATGCCAAAAACAAAACAAGTGTGGAGATGGCTCAAAGGGCTGAAGCACATGCTTCACCCCTTACCCACCTCAGGGTTCACTTGGAACCACACAGTACCCTGAGCACCTCCCAAGCAGCACCAAGCTGGGAGTAGCCCCCAAGCACTGCCACATGTGAGTCTGAAACAAAACAAACAAAAGAAAGTGTGTCTCAATGTCAGTTCTCCGTTCCAGACTGGTGAAAAGCAGGTCACATGGGCACATGTATGACCTGGCAGTAAAATATTAAACAGAAGAGTCTTAATCAACCCCACACAACCTTGACCTTAATCACAACGAAAGGTCTAACTGATAGAAATGCAGAGAGAGTAGAATGAAATTAGGCGAAAAGACTTGATAGGGTGTTTTTTGTTTTGTTTTGTTTTGTTTTGTTTCATTTTTGAACCACGCTCATTGGTGCTCAAGACTTCCTCCTGACTCTCTGGGCTTACTCCTGGAGTTGCTCTCAGGGCTCACTCTGGCAGGGATGGGGAAAACAATATATTGTGCCAAGGATTGAAGATGGCTCAGTTGTGTGCAAAGCAAGTACCTTACCTCCTCTATGGTCATTCCAGCCCTGACTTTTCAGTTGTAAAAACAGAGCAGGGTAGTTGGGGTTGGAAGGATTAATTGTGCATATCCTCCCTGTGGTTCCTAAGTGCTACTGGGAGTGACCCCCAGCACTGCATCAGGAGTAACCCCCCACCCCCAACCTCTGGCTAGGACCCGAACAGCTCAAAAGAGGATAGTTAAGTGCCAAACTTACATAGGCAGGAAGGAGGCCCCCTGGGCAATGAGCTGTATGTACCAAGCAGAGCCAGCTGGAGTCCATCAAAAACCAATTAAGGGGCCATTCAGCAGTGGCTGAATGACATTGCCCTGGCAATGGACCCTAGGCCAGGTGACCTGAAAGACCTGCTGTGATGAGGCACAGACTGACTCTCTGCCTTCTTTTTTTTTTTTTTCTTTTTAGGTCACACCCAGCAATGATAGTACAGTGGGTAGGGCATTTGCCTTGCATGCGGAGACCCTGGGTAGATTCCCAGCATCCATATAGTCCCCTGAGCACCACCAGGAGTAATTCCTGAGTGCAAAGCCAGGAGTAACATATGTGCATCGCCAGGTGTGACTCAAAAAGAAAAAAAATACCCAAAACCAAAATTGGTGCCCATGGCCCCAGAATGTGACTCAGTGGCAGAAGATCGCAGGTTTGATGCCCATGGCACTATCGTTTTCAATCCCCCCACCACAGAGTGTGATTTCCAGCACTATGCAACCAAGTGTTGCTTCATTGTCACAATGCCAACAAAGGGAAGAGGTGGAAAACTTGGTGCCAGTTTGCCAACAATTTGCTTTAGGTTCAGATGAGCTGAGTGATAGAAGTGAGAGTACTTTACAGCATGCCCCTGGCCTGACTCCACCGTCTCAGGGCAGATCTCACTGAGACATAATCTGCTGAAAATTCAGGTATGGGGGTTTTGTGACTGAAATCGGGCTTAAGATCTTGGAGTTGGGATGGGTTACCTCCCCCCACCTCCCTGTACTTCTGGAAGCCTCAGCAGTCATATCCACACCCCAAAGCGGCCACCCAATTGAAAAGCTACTC